TTTCGCTATGTTGGCCAGGCTGGTCTTGAACTCCTGGCCTCAAGTGATCCACCCACCTCAGCTTCCCAAAGTGCTGGGATTAGAGGTGTTAGCCACCATGTCCAATCCACTTACAGAATTTTCTAACAAATGTGGTGAAGAGAGGGAGGGTGCATCAGGAATGTGTTTGGTGTGGAAGGAAACAATGGCTATCCCCTGAGCAGGAGCCATCCAGGCTACTGGGTTCTGAGTTTGAGAGCCCGTGGGCCCCTGGGCAGGCCTGGGTCAGCCGCCAGAGCCCTCCTCACCTTGCCAGAGGTCTTGACGCCTTTCCAGATGCTGAAGTAGATAACAGTGAAGATCAGCATGATGCAGAGGGTCAGCTGCCAGCTGATGCCCCCCAGGTCCTGGAGCCCCTTAGACCGGTGGATCTGCAGAACGTGGCGCCTGGGGTGAAGGAGAAAGAAAGCTCCTGAGGGCTCTGGAGAGTGACCTGGGCACACATCTGTGCTGTTCCTTTGAGGGTGCCCAGGACAAATAGAGACTGTGCTGCCTAAGGCCCAGGATGAGCTGGGATTGGCCCTGCCCGTCCTGAAGGGCCACACAGCACATTCGGCCAACACCCTGGGAAGAGTGTTCAACCCAAAGGCAGACTTCTTCGACTCTCCTTTGCTGGCTGGGACCTGAACTCCTTGGACCAACGTGGCTGGCTTCTGGGAACCTGAGGGATGTGTCAGTGTGGGGCTCCCTTCCCTCCCCTGAAGTAGGTCTCTCTTTGGGCTGCCATTGCCTAGAATTCCAGCATTAAAGAAAACAACCTTCCCCAGCATCTTCTTCCAAAGGTAGACCCCACTTATGAAGTCAACACATGACAGCATTTGAATAGTTTTGAACTATCGAAGCAGTAGGATGCTTTGTCTCCAAGACACTTGGCTGAGCGGAGGAGCCTGGAAGCAGGGCAGCAGCAGGGGAGTGATTCTGGAATGCGAAGGGAGCACGATGGAGCAAGCTCGCTTGGCGCTTGAGGAAGTTTGGGGAGGCACAGCAGGGCCAGCCCGTGGGGCAGTTGAAGTAGTTTCCCAACTCTGAATTCTGCTACTCCCACCCCCGGATAACTTCATCTCTCAGAAATCTGCACTTGGCCCGGCCTTTCTCCTAAGAAGCCAAACCCCAGGGGTGTAGCCTGCCCCTAACAGGCCAACCCCTCACTTACATGCACTTACGTGTAAAATTCTTCAGCAGGGGACGTGGAATGGAGGGTCCAGGTGATGTTGTCCTCAGAGAAGTAATTGGTGCAGTTGCCAGTGTTCCAGGAGTTCTTGCAGCTGGTCCAGGGCAGCTGGTCCGTGAAGGAGGAGATGAGGTAGTAGAGCGCCCAGGCCATGATGGTGTTGTAGTAGGAGGCGATGTAGAAGGCAATGATGCAGATGGCGTAGCCAATCCCTGGGCAGGGGGAGACGGGAGAGAGAGGCCAGGCTTAAGGGTGGCCCGAGGACAAAAGGCTGACACGGCACCGAACAGGAGAGGCCCGCAGCCCAGCAGAGGGGGACAGGGCGGTGCTGCCCTCCATTCCGTTCCAAGGACTCCAGGCCGCAGCAGGGAAAGTGGCCTGCAGGGAGTCACTCGTATGCATTAGCAAGGTAACATGTTTTAGAAAATGTGTACATGTCCTGTTAATGCTTTAAAATGTTTACATTTGTTTACTTCTAATTGCCATTTATTCTGTTTCTCCTTAACAATTGCATGCTCAAGCCAGGGATGCCTCAGGCCTGACTGATTCCAGAAGAAGGCCCCCAGCTCCCACCCACTGATGGAAATTGCTTCAGTTACCTTTGAAAATCGGGCAGATTTTCCTCCATATGGAAATGCATCCGTTTCGGTGGTACTGTCCCAGCGCGAGCTCCATGTAAAATAGCGGGATGCCCCCGAAAACGGCCATGATGGTGTAGGGGAGGAGGAATGCCCCTGAGGCAGATGAAAGACAATTTAACTCCCTGCCCACATCTGTCCTGGGATAGCCCAACCGATCTGCGACCCCGAGAATCACAGTCACGGCATGATTTGAGTGTCCCGGAGCCACCCTAGGCTGAGTGGCTTTACGCTGTGTTCCCCTGGTCTTAGTGCTTTGCCAGAGGCAGTTGTAGGGGGAGCACCATGACTAAAATGAAGTTTCAGAGGAGGCCAAGAGAGCAATTGGGAAGAAAGCCATTGGGAGTCAACAGACAGGCAGGACCACGGCCACTCCGACTGTCTGGAGAACCCTGGGCCACTTCCCCTCTCGGAGCCCCAATTTCCTCCCTATAAAAGAACACAGTTGAGGAGAGCTGAGTTTCCCAAATGTAGCCACGCCTCATAATCACCTAGATTCCTGGGTCTACCCCAGACCTCCTGAAGCCAAATCTCCAAGCACGGGTACAACACAAGAATTGTGTTCAAGCTCCGTAGGTAATTCTGATGGAACCAGTACCTGGGACCCTTGGAATAGATCACCTGTGACAGTGTGTAGCAACAGCTGCCACCATCTGTGAGTCACTGAATCAGTACCTTTGTTCATCAGTATTATCTACGGCTCCAGACATATGATTATTGATATTTGGCTACACTTCTATAATTCCACTGAGCCAGAATGCTCCTTGACAGGCCCCGTTTGCAGGAGTGGCTGGACAGGGTACTTTTTCACAGAATAAGAAAGCAAGAGCTACTACCTAACTGGAGATGCTGGTGTCTACTGGATCTTGTGGCTGAGGCTGAATTTAAGAATACCAAGTTGGGGGCCAGGAGTGGTGGCTCACACCTGTAATCCCAGCACTTTGGGAGGCTGAGGTAGGTGGATCACCTGAGGTCGGGAGTTCGAGACCAGCCTGACCAACATGAAGAACCCTTGTCTCTACCAAAAATATAAAATTAGCTGGGCATGGTGGCAGGCGCCTGTGGTCCCAGCTACTCAGGAGGCTGAGGTAGGAGAATCACTTTAACTCGGGAGGCGGAGGTTGCGGTGAGCTGAGATCGTGCCATTGCACTCCAGCCTGGGCAACAAGAGCAACATTCCGTCTCTCAATAAATAAATAATAAAAAAATAAAAATGCCGAAAGGGTGGGTCAGCTGTGATTTTCCCTGATAACTTTCCCTGCTGTAAAATACTCTGAACCCAGAAACCTGAGGTCTGTGCAAGTCAGAAAGGTCCACATAATTTACAATCACACTAGGTAAATCCGGCTTGAGAATAAAAACCACGTGTTCTTGTGGTGGCCTTCCTCCAAAGGGTTTGCTTGATCGGCTTTATGCTGGGGAATGAGTGTAGCAGAAACGTCACCAGTGACCCAGCCCCTTACATAATGCTCAGGCTAAAGGTGAGCCCTCTGGAGCAGGAGATAAGGTGATTATGACTTTCGCTCCTCCTCGGCAGGAAGCGCGGAGCTTCCTGGGGGCCTCTGGTACTACTTTTGCAGCTGCATGGACAGAAATGCTTACGAAAGACAGCAAATCCAAGCCACTCTGTGTTAGGTCAGGGGGGAAGAGGGGGACACAAATGGATGATCCCCGAACCTCTTTTAGCTGCCCTCCCAAATCTGTCGTCAGAGCTCCCATCAAAATCAAGATTGACTCACTGCACCCCCACTTCTTGTTATCTTCCTGTGCTGATAACCAGTCCAAGTGAGAGGCCCCAACCCACTCACTTTCCCCACTGCTCTGCTCCCCACAATTGGCTACTATTTTTGATAATCTACAAATTAACTACTTGAGAGGCTTTAGGGGTAGAAGGAACAAGACAGGGCCTCTGGCCTCAAAAATCTAACCTCCAAGGAGGAGATAGGAGGGACAGCCATGCCTGGTTTGAGGTTGGCTTTTAATGTCATGCTGTGAATCTAATCCGGCTTTAGATTCTGCCCAGCCTGGTTTAAGACTCTGGGCCTACATTGATGCCCTTCTCTGACCTCACACAGGTTTAAAGGTCCAGAATCATCTGGGACTCTGAAGCCGCCTCCAAATTTTCCCTTACACAAGCCTACCCTTCTGCACTCTCTTCCCAGCAGAACCTACCAGCAGGAGTGAAGGAACTTAGCACAAGGCTGACAGCCATTCCCTCACTTCTGGCCTGGAGAATGCAGGATGAGGAGGAGACCCTTCAATAAATGGAGTTAACGATGTGGAGGTCTGTGAGGTCAGGCTTGGGAGGGCTTCACCCAGCTTCACAACCTGGAGAGCCTCAGACACGCTGCCTTCAGCATTTGGCTTACTGGAGATTTGACTTTTCTTTTCTTTTGTTTTCTTGAGACAAAGTCTCACTCTGTCGCCCAGGCTGGAGTACAGTGACGCGATCTTGGCTCACTGCAACATTTGCCCACCGGGTTCAAGTGATTCTCCTACCTATGCCCCCCGAGGAGCTGGGATTACAGGTGGCCCACCTCACCCAGCTGATTTTTGTAATTTTTAGTAGAGACAGGGATTCACCATGTTGGCCAGGCTGCACTTGAACTCCTGACCTTGTGATGTACCCGCCTTGGTCTTCCAAAGTGCTAGGATTACAGGCATGAGCCACCGCGCACAGCCTTGACTTTTCTTTTTTTCTTTTTTTTTTTTTTTTTGAGACAGAGTTTCGCTCTGTCACCCTAGATGGAGTGCAGCGGTGCAATCTCGGCTCACTGCAACTACCACCTCCCGGGTTCAAGCGATTCTCCTGCCTCAGCCTCCCAAGTAGCTGGGACTATAAGCACCCGCCACCACACCCAGCTAATTTTTATATTTTTAGTAGAGACGGGGCTTTGCCATGTTGGCCAGGCTGGTCTCAAACTCCTGACCTCAGGCGATCTGCCCGCCTCAGCTTCCCAAAGTGCTGGGATTACAGGCGTGAGCCACTGTGCCCAACAAGATTTGACTTTTCAACCAGCTTGTAATCTAAGCCATCATGTTCCCAGACTTACACCAATGAAGACCAAAAAGACATACTCTGTCTTCTAGCCTCTCAAGAGGACCTACCCCCCACCCCGGGTCACAGCCTCTACTCACAGCCCATGATACTGACCCCCTCCATTCTGGTAACATATGTAGGGGAAGCGCCAGACGTTGCCCAGGTCCACAGCATAGCCAATGACTGAGAGGAGGAAATCCACCTTCTTGCCCCAGGTCTCCCGTTCCCCTTGATGAAGCTCAGCCACTAGGGTGGTGGCGGCCGCCTGGATAGGGTGCCTCGTGTCGTCTCCCGCACCAGGGCTTGGAACCGCTGAGTATCCATTAGATATTTGCCCAGATTCCAATTTGTCCCCTGGGGTGGGGACACCCTTCTGCAGAACTCCGTTTTCCTGACAATCTTCTCCATCCTTACATGCTGATAGCTGTTTCTGAGAGTTTAAGGGCGTGGTCTCCATCCTGCTGGTTAGTAAATGACACCAATGCCCATCTGCCAAGGATCCCCCTGAACTCTGGGTGCGTGGATATGTGGATCACCTCTGAGCTTCCTGTTGTCGGGACTGATGGCTCTGTCAGAAAGACACACAGAGGAAGGAGAATACGATTAGACATTTTACTAATCGTTGGTATTAACTCATTGTACATCTTAAACTACATTAGTTAAGGGGATTCCAAATGCACCTGTTAAATGTGAAACGTCCTATTTGTGACATGACAGTCCATGAAATCAACTAAATTTCTCAACCTATACAGGGCATCAAATTGCAATCAAGTAATCTGAAAAGGAAACAACAAAACCAACACAAACAGATAGCAAGTCACCCAGGTTTTACAGAGGCCGGACCGCAGAGCAAAACACTTGCTTCCCTGGGAGCCACTGGAATCTCACCCCGTGGTTTTCTAGCAGCTCTGAAGAACGTGAGAGGGGCTCCAAAGCGTCACAGAGCCCCCTTCACTTGGATGCCATGTTGGAGAAACAATGACAAGCAAAGGCATTTCTGCCCTTCAGTAGGCAGGAGAGTCCTCGCCATCATTTAAGCTGCACACCCAAAGTTACATTTTATGTCAACTACAGATATGATTTTATTTCATCTTTTTCTTGCTTACCTACAGGAGACAGATATGATTTTATTATTTTTATTTTTTTTTTTTTTTTGAGTCGGAGTTTCGCTCTTGTTACCCAGGCTGGAGTGCAATGGCGCAACCTCGGCTCACCGCAACCTCCGCCTCCTGGGTTCAGGCAATTCTCCTGCCTCA